CATCCATCCATCCATCATCCATCCATCCATCATCCATCCATCCATCCATCATCCATCCATCATCCATCCATCCATCCATCATCCATCCATCATCCATCCATCCATCCATCCATCCATCCATCCATCGTCCATCCATCCATCCATCCATTAATGGATCCATCCATCCATCCATCCATCCATCATCCATCCATCCATCATCCATCCATCCATCCATCCATCCATCCATCCATCCATCCATCCATCCATCATCCATCCATCATCCATCCATCCATCTATCCATCATCCATCATCCATCATCCATCCATCATCCATCCATCCATCCATCCCATCTGGCTGCGAGCAGGTGAAGGAGGCTGCAGGCTGTAACTTCAAAGGCAGCTGTGATGATATTCCATTTTTTTTCCCTCTCTGAGTCAGTTTGGGGCTGTTTACCCTGTCCTGGAGCCATCCCTGAGCACCACTTGGGCTGCACCAGTGCTCCCAGTGCAGGGCTCCCAGCACACAGGTGAGGGTGGTGCCAAAGGGACACAACCAGAATCAGCACAGGAGCAAAGCTCAGACTGTTTGAACTGGAAAAGCAAACCAGAGCCAGGTCCCAGGCAGCCAGGACTTGGATACTGGTCCACAGCAAGCCATGGGGGCAGTGGGGCTTTGCTGTGGTGAGGAATTCCCTCCAATCCAGCTGCTTCCCGCAGGCCTCGGCTGGCACAGGGGATTTTCATCCTGGGGCTGGCCAGCTCCTGAGCTCCCTGCCTGGCCAGACTCATGCCATGGGTGCTGGGAGTAGGGACAGGGTGTGTAATGGCACGGGAGCAGAGAGTGGAAATGCGTCCTGAAGCAGAGGGGAGCTTAATCAGCACCCTCCAGTAATGACCTTGCATCCTCAAGTACCTCACTGGTACCAGGATTTGCTATTCACTGCTAAACACTGCTAAACTCAGCACTAACCCAGGCTCAGCCCAGCCACAGCTGCTCTGCCATCCCCTCTCACACCTCACATCCTTCATCCTTCCTGGAACCCTAAAACAAAAACCCTGGGAAGAGGGGAATGTGCCACTGTCAGAGCAGCTCATTGGGGGCTGTCTGCTGCCTGCTCATGCCGTGGCACAAACAACAGCACTCTCCCAGTCCATCCCAGCTCTCCCAGTCCATCCCAGCTCTCCCAGTCCCGCTGTGTCACGGAGCTCTGGGAGCCCTCCCCAGGCAGAGGCATTGCTGTGATTACACTGAGCATAATGAGCCTCTCTCCAGCAAGCACAGCCCAGCACTGCACAGATGAGAATGCCCATTTCAGTCCTCCTCCCTGCTTAGCTGAATCATTTCCTGGTGCTCTACCTGCAGGTAAGATTTATCCCCTCAATCCCTGTCTGCATCACACAGAGCAGAGAAAGAGCTTTCTGGATCTCTCCTGTCTGGGATTTATCATTAGGGGCAGTAAAGCAGTGTTCCCCCACTGCAGCTGAACCTGTCTGCAGCTCCTGAGGATCCCAGCTGGCAGACACACGGTGACATGGCTGGAGATGCAAGTGAAGGTTTATTTCATTTCCAACAGGAAAGTGCAAATGCAGGGAAAGAAACAATATGTGGAGAAGTGCCTGCAGTTCTTCCCTTCTCCAATGCAAAGCTCTCTGACCAAAATAGCACATTGAAATTAAGCTCATTTGTTTCCAAATTGAAATCCCAAGGCTCTTCCATATTTGAAAAGTGTCATAGATGCTTTTTGGATGGCTGCTCTGCCTCGCCGAGAGAAAAGCAGCAAGGATGAGTGAGGAAGACATTCCTCTAAGCACAGCTCCCAAGGGCCTTCACCACATTGACTGGGCACAGGCTCACTAAATCCTAAACATTGCAAGGGATGAGCTGAAAGCCATCCCCAGACCTTGACTTCAGTGCTAACGAACTTCTGCCTCTCAGTGATAAGGACATCTCTACACACAGTGCTCAAACTCTGCCACCTTCCCAAACACCCAGCACCACAGGCTCTGCACTTTGGGCTCAGCTCAGGGCACTAATCCTGAACTGAAGGGGTTGTAGAGGTTAATTATAACCTAATGAACAACAACCAAGCTGAGGATTTGTGGGGTCAGTCGCTGAAGTCCACTGCTTGCTGGTTCCCTTCTTCATTTCCCATGGTGGAAACATTTTGCCCTGAGTCTCGCCATAAAAAAGGCAAATGGGGGCCATCCTGAGCCAAGGGAAATTGTGAACCCAACATGAAAGGCACAGATGACATGGGTAACTGATTGCTTTAATTACAACCTAATTTCCTCAATCACAAGTTCAAAAGTAGATGGCATTGGGTTTTAATTAAGAGGACTGCTTGAAGGATCTCAACCTCATCATGTTTTAGTCAAAGAGCTATGGAATAAAGGTCAGGAAATTGCACTTTTGGTTAATACAAACAAAAGGAATTATCAGATCCAGCAGGAAATTCTCAGAACTGTCAATACATATTGACAGATGCTGCTCCTCCATTAGACACAGTCCTCAGACACTCCAGCTTGTTCCCAAATCACCCAGGGACAAACCCAGGCTCAGCCCTTGCCAGCTCCCCTCATGGGCAGGTGTGCCAGCCCCAGGTAGCTCACAGACATCCCTGAGGTGTTTGATGCCATGGGGACAGCCCCAGGTGTGCCCCAGCCCCACCAGGTACCTCAGAGACATCCCTGAGGTGTTTGATGCAGAGGGGACAGACCCAGGCCAGCCCCAGCCCTGCCAGGTACTTCACAGATGTCCCTGAGGTGTTTGATGCAGTGGGGACAGCCCCAGCCCCCCCAGGTACCTCACAGACATCCCTGAGGTGTTGGATGCCATGGGGACAGCCCCAGGCCAGCCCCAGGTACCTCAGAAATGTCCCTGAGGTGTTTTATGCCATGGGGACAGCCCCAGGTGTGCCCCAGCCCCCCCAGGTACCTCACAGATGTCCTTGAGGTGTTTGATGTAGTGGCGCTCGGTGCTCATGATCTCGTTGATGACGTTGGCTCTCATCTGGTCGCGGTTCTGCACGGTCCTGCCCAGGCACAGGCAGTCGGCGCTGGGGTCCAGGTGCCCATTCTGCACCTCGCTGGTTCCCTCCTCCACCCCATCCTCCTGGTTCACCCACAGCTGCAGGACACGGGGACAGCAAAGGGGTTATTGGCTCTGGGGGTGTTGGATCCAGCCCTGCTGACCCCACAGCTCCCAGCACACGCTGCCCAGTCCCATACTGGTGCAGGCAGCCCCACACGCTGCCCCACACTGGAGGGGGTTGCCAGTGCTGGCTGCTTCCATCCTAAATGTAAGATCACACTGTGGCAGGGTGAACAGAGAGCTCCAAGAGCTCCAGACTGAGATGGACACGAGTGAAACAGGAGAACTGCAGCTACTGGTGGCAAGCACTGCTGTCCCAGCTCCTGCCACCTCCTGCTGGGCCCCCTCTGAACAGGAAGATCCTCTGGGAGCAGGGATAAACCCTTCCCAGGGGCTGACTGGAGATGTGGCTGGTTCAGGGATCTGAAGTGCATCATCATCAGCTCTGGGCTGTGTTTCTGGGGCTTTGTCAGAGCCCTGATTCCATTTTTCATTCCATTCCATCCTCAGCAGCTCACAGGGACAGCCTGGCTCTGGTAAATCCTCAGCATCCCAGGACTGGGATCCCCAAATCACACGGAATGGACACCCCTGAGCAAGTCTCCTAAAACCTGGGGACAGCTTGGGACGGGTGCAGTGGGCACTGACAATTCCAAAAAAGCAGTGAAAAAGGATCTCTGTGTTTCCAGCACACTGAAACTCCCAACAGCAAATCAAAAACATCCATGGAAATTGCAAATTCCAGCTCTCTCCTGTGTGTCTGAACCAGGCTGTGCTCCATAAGGATCAAGGGCTCCTTCTGCTACCTTTTCCCACAAAACCTGCTTAAAATAACTCTGATTGACTCAAATTGGGCTCAGGGTAGTTTATAAACAAACATTAAATAAAGCTTAGAGCTGACAGAAATACCTCTGTCTTTCACAGACCACCTCAGCTGTGATGGAAATGAAGCAACTTCTCTCCTCAGCATTTGAAGTCCCCAAATCCTGGGGATTTTCAAACCTAAAAATACTTTTTTCCTGTGAGGAGTGGAACTGTCCACACACAGAGTACAAGGAAACCAGGCAGCATCATTAACCTCATCTTCAGGCTTCCTGTCAGTGTTAATAGTTTTTCCTGCTTTCCCATTATTCAGTTTAAACTGGGTTTTGCACAGATTGTAAAGGGCAGTGTTCCTGTAAATTAGGAAAGTAAAAACCTCCAAGCCTGGCCCTGCTCCTTCCCTGCTTTCCCAACCAGCAGCTGTTCTGCTAAACCACCTTTTGCAGCTCCCACATTCTGCCCTCCCACAGGGAGTTGTAAAGGCCAAAATAAAACAACTAAAAAAACCCCAAAAAACCCAAACCCATCGCTTCTTTAGCAGGATGTTAATGATGCTGCAAATTTGGGGGATTCAAAGGGGTTTTGTAGGATTTCCATCAGCACTGGGAGGCCTGGCTGAGCCCTGTGAGGGAAAGGAGGGAGCTGGTGATCCAAGCCCAACAAATCTAGTGGAATTCAGCATGGAAAACCTCTCCTGGCACGCTGAAACAAATGTCTCTTGTTCAGAAAAACAGCCCAAAAGCTGGCTAGAAAAACATCTCTTTCAGCAAACCCCCCCTGCTCTGGAAGGGGTTTGGGGTCCACTGAGGCAGAGCAACACCCCATGAACATGAGCAGTGGTTTATGCTGGAAAAGAAATAAAAGATAAATATAAAATAATAATAAAATAAAATATAATAATAATAAAAATAAAATAAAATAAAATAAAATAAAATAAAATAAAATAAAATAAAATAAAATAAAATAAAATAAAATAAAATAAAATAAAATAAAATAAAATAAAATAAAATAAATATAGAAGTGCTGCTGCTGAGCAATGTCCCTGTTGGGCTAAGTGACCTCAGTGGCCAACTACTGCCATCAGTGCCACCAATTTCAGTGCTGAGAAAACTTGGGGGCACCTTGAGAAGGGAAAATGGGTCCTGGGAAGGATAAAATGGCACAGGGAGTCCTCCAAGGGATATGTCCTGGTGACAGCTTCATTGGCATTCCAAAGCAAAGAGATGTGGAAAATCCAGGACCGGTGTGGGGATTAAACCCTGTTGGGTGAAGTTTAAAATAACTTGTCACCCTGCTTTTCTTCTCCTACAGAAAAGGATTTTGCAGCTTTCCCAAACCCAACTGGAACAGTTTGTTACCAAGTTTGATGACATTCCTGCCAGTTTGGCAGCAGAGCATATTTTTAAAGCTCTTCCCCCTAGAGTCAGGTGATCATGAGAAAAAAATTGAGTTTCACTTCAAAAAAAAGCCAGAAAGATCTAATCATTACAAGGCAAGCATGTGTAAGCCTGAGTCATGAATCCTAAAGGGCTTTGAAACTTCAAGGCAGATAGCAAACTTGCAAACTTTCATGATTCCTCAAATTCAGGCTGCTTTTTGTGCACAGCAGGAGCACTCCCTCCTTCCTCATCTGAGAATCTCAGGAGTCCTGCTTTCTTCCTTAATGAAATTTTTGCTCCTTCCTGCTAGGATCCATGTTCCCAAAGGGAAAAAAAAATACAGTTCTAATCTAGATGACTTTTGCCTCAAATTAAAAACAAATGCAACAATTTTATCAGCTCCAGAGGAAGCTGAAGGTGTTTCCAGCCTCTGCTGCTGGAAGGATGAATCCCACTCCTGTTTCCACCTAAACCTCTGAAATTCCAGCAAGGATTCTTCTTCCAGGGCATCACTGGAAGTTGGGACCATGACTAACAAAAGCTGAGGTGCAGTGGCAGCTCTGGCATTGACCTAGATGCTGGCCTTGCCCAAAAACTTCTGAAAGGTCAGACTGAGCTGATTTAGACAAAGCTGTGAACGCTCCTGTTTTAGCCCGGCAGCTCTAACAGGGTGATCCCTCTGTTTCACACACATGGGGTTCCCAAAATTGCCTGAAATGCCTGAATTTCCCTCCTTCCTGCCGGGAACAGCTGAGATCCCACACCTGGAAAAAGTTCTGTCTGCTCCCCGTCCTTCCAACCAGAACAAATGCACAAACACCCCTCAGTGCAAACATCTCCAGTGTTAGAAAAGAAACCTCACAGCTCTTGTTTTCTCCCTCTTTAACCCCATCTCCCCAGCACTCCCAGCTCAAGAGGGGTGGCTGCCATCCCTGTGAGGATTTCCAGGGAGCAGGGATGGGACAGGAGCTCCCTGGCAGCTTCTCAGCTCTGCTGTTACTCAGATTCCAAGAAGCCTCTCCAGGTTCCTCAGCAGTTCAGGGCTTGGCACAGCACTGGGATCCCAGACTGAATTCCTACATCCAATAGCACTGCTTTTAAGGATAAACAACCCTACAATAATAAATCCAAGGTCTATTTAAACACCTCTGTAATGCAAAACATCAGGAGCTGTAAAATAAAACAGGACTGGGAGGGTTTCCCCCAGGCCATGAAAAAGGCCCAGCAGCCAAACAAGCCCTGAGAGCCATTTCAAGCACTCTGTGTCAAGAATTAATTAAAAGAAATCAGTGAAAACTACAGAAAAAAAAAATCCAGTTGCATAATGCTGGTCCTACATGATGTTTCCCATTGAAAGGCCCCTCCATCTGGAGAGGAACAGGCTTATCATGAGGCTCCCAGTCCTATTTCAAAATTCAACCCTAATTGGGAAGTCATGACCAGCTCTTGCGTAATGCAAGAACCTGCAGAGGCAGATAAAAGTCAAATAATCAAATAAAAAAAGGCCCTTTTCCCTAAGGACCAGTTCTGGGAGGCAGGGAGAGCTGATGGTGGCTTTGTGCTAATTCATGTTCTCTATGACTGATATCCCTTCAGAAAGGGAAAAAAGGAACACCCAGGGAACCACAGGCCAGGCAGGCTCACCTCAGTGCCCAGCAAGAGCATGGAGCAGATTCCTGGAAAATACATCCAGGCACATGGAAAACAAGTAGGTGAGAGCCACCACAGCTTCACTGAGGGCAGAGCGTGCCTGACACACCCAGGGATCTGTGGCAAGGTGGTTTCAGAGCTCAGAGACCCTGCCAGGACCTAAAGGGGCTCTAGGAGAGCTGGAGAGGGACTGGGGACAAGGGATGGAGGGACAGGACACAGGGAATGGCTCCCACTGCCAGAGGACAGGGATGGATGGGATATGGGGCAGGAATTGTTCCCTGGCAGGGTGGGGAGGGGCTGGGATGGAATTCCCAGAGCAGCTGTGGCTGCCCCTGGATCCCTGGCAGTGCCCAAGGCCAGGCTGGACATTGGGCCTGGAGCACCTGGGACAGTGGGAGGTGTCCCTGCCATGGCAGGGGTGGCACTGGGTGGGCTTTGAGGTCCTCCCAACCCAAACCAAGCTGTGATTGTATGATATAAAATTTCTATAAATACAATTTATCAGCTTGCAGCTTTACCCAAATGGTGCATGAAATCACCCAATGGCACTGGGCCAGCATCAGTGACCTGCAATTATTGCAGATTTACCCTGCTCACTGCAGGCACTGGACAGAGAGGACTTTTTCCTTCAACAGGCACCGAGGCCTGATCTCCTCATAATGATCAGAAACCACAATAAACCAAACATTTTTACCAGCCAGCTGGATTATTAACCTGCTTCCAGTGGATATTCACAAGAACAAAACCAGCAGCTGATGTGCCGCTCTGGATTCTCGCTCACAATTAACGAACGTGGCAGATTAATGACACTGACACATCCTTCCAGAGAGCTGCTGCCATTCCAGGGAATCTGGATTAGACAGGACAAGTGTGGCCAGTACAGGGGGTTGCAGTGCCAGAGGCTCCAAACCTGCAGGAATCCATGGAAGCACAGAGCCTCAGGGCTCTCTCCCACCCATCCACACACTCCTGCAGGATCTGCCCCTTCCCTGACTCCCTGAGCTGCTGCCAGGGCTGTGTCCTGTGCAGTGGCACATTCCCACTTTTCCTAAGAAATTCCCTTTACCCAAGGTGAGAAACACCTTTTACTCATTCCTGGCAAAGGAGACAAGAGGGGATTGTGCAGGGACAGCCTCAGGCTCTGTATCCCCAAAAGGTGAACAAGAGCAGCTCCCTGTGCTCCCTCCCTGTTCCCTGCAATCCAAACACAGATTCCCAGGGGCTGGAGCTCCAGCAGGGACCAAAAGCTGCTTGGACACTGCAGCAAACTGGATGTTTTCCACTCCATCCACCAGAAAACTGGGAATTAGGGCTGAACCCTGCTGAGGGCTGGTACTGGGACACACGGGTGGCACAGCAGAAGCTCAGAGCTCACTGCAGAGCCCTGCCAGGGTGAGGAAGAGCAGGGCCAGGGAAGGGGCTCTGCAGGTTTGTGCCTCGGAGGGGCTGTGGAGATTCCTGCCTGGTTTGCCTGACTCAAAGAAAGGCTTTAAAACTCTGTTTTTGCACCTCTCTCCAAACCAGCTCATCCAGGGAAGGACACAGTGTCAGTGTGTGCCCCTCTGGGGGAGCTGTCTGAGCTGCAGGTGGCACAGGAGCTCTGGGCATGCTGAGATGCTCCTTGTCTTTAGGAAACCCCAAACTGTAGCTCAGCTGTCCCCAGCAGTGCTGCCCATGCCAGGCCCTACCTCCAGCACTGCTGTTTTTGAGCTGGATTTGCCACAGGAGAATCAAATCTCCCCTAGAAGGCTCTGACTGCAGCAGGCACTGCAGCACATCCAGCACATCCAACAGGTGAGGACAGCTCAGCTCCAGCCCCTTCCTTTGGGAAATCTCACCTTGATGCCCCTGGCTCTGAGAGAATGCTAATGCAAGGTCTGCAGCAGGGGAGAAACAGCTGAGTGATGAGCTCAACAAGACAGAATCACATTTTACAGGCAAAAGGCAGCAGATGGGGCAGAAAGATGGGGAATTACATCTGCAGTACAGAGCAGGCACAGCTAAATTCTAAACCCACCAGCCCAGTAAGGGCACGAGCTGCCAGGCACTGGGACCAGGCTCTGGGTTCTCAGTCTCCTTCTCCCCAGCGCCTTAAAAGCTCACTCCAATTTATCCAGCACTTCTCCTTTAGCAGCAGAAAATAAAGTGGGTCAAAGGCAGCTTTTCAGCAGGAAAATCAATCTAAAATTACAACACTTGGGGGAACCAAGGCAGTGGTGAGAGAGAACACGGAGCGCTGCCACCCCTGCACTCCTCCACCCCTGCACCTTCTCCTGCAAGAGGACACCAAGAAGATTTGATATCCCCTCCTTGCTCAGGCCTTGGGAGGACCATTTCTTCCCTTCCTCTGTCACCAGGCACTATGAAAGCTGCAGTAAAAGCTCCTCAGCCCCAGTGTTGCTCTTTACTTTGGCTTAGTAACATAAGGAAGGGAGACTCAGCATTGCTGAGGTGAGAAGAAATATATTCTGCAAGCTCAGTCTGGTATCCAGAGAGACTGAGGAGAGCTTTACACAGGAATAAATCCCCCTCTCTGCCCAGGACAGGGGCACTCTGCTGTGTCTCAGAGGGAAAATTCCACTGCACAGCATCCATAAGCTTTACTCTTTTTATTTCTCTTGCAGTGCAAATGTGTCAGAGCCCAAACACAAAGCCATTTGATTTCTTGTGTTTAATTTCCTGTGTTTGGAGTGTCTCACCTGGGCTGTTTTGGAGCCTTGATGAGGGGCTCTGCAATGAGAACTTTATTTTGAGGTTTGCTGTGCTTTCTAAAGGAGACCTCAAAGTACAGCCATGGATCCATGGGCAGCCCTGGACTGTTGTTCTCTGCTGTAAATCCCTCCCTACCAACACTGAGCCTGGTTTTCTGAGCCAGTGTCAAAGGTTATGCAAAAACTCATCTCATGCCCATGATGTACAGACAGCCCCAGGCTCTGCCATCCACAGAGGAGAAAAAAGTGGCATTTCCACCACAAGAATGTGAAATCTTGCTTGAAATTCCTACTGTTTTTTCCCCAGCTGTCCCTCCCAACCTGTCAGACCATTGGAAGTTGACAGGATGTTCAAAGACATCGTGCAGCAACCACGGCTGCACCCTGTGGGTGTCCAGTGTGCTCAGAATAGGCACTAAAATACACCACAGACACCTTCATCTGTCTAAACCCAGCTCGTTGCTGGCTCTTAAATTTAGTTCTGGAGTTCTTATCCCCCTTTCTGACTTAGGGGTTTTCATAATCTTCTCCCTGAGTGCAGCAGCTCCCTGCAGAAATCATTCACCATTCCCTGCTGGCTCCAAATTTGACTTCTCCTATGCTGTGCTTTCTCTTCCCCCAAAAAAAACCATTGCTTTATCATCCAGTTTCTCCTTGAAAGTTCCTGAGCTCCCAAACCTCTGTGGTTTCCTCTCCCCACCTTCTCTCTATCCAAGTCCCAAGCTCCTAAGAGGATTAGTGCAGGTGTGAGCAAGGAGACAACAATTGCTGTGTGCGCAGGGAATTCAGGAGAAATTTTGTTTCCCACCCCTGGCTGTCATGTAAAGGAGGCCAAGGGAATCAGCAGGTTCCTGTTTTCCTCTCCACTTGCAAATGTGAAGTTCCCTGCTATGAGATTTCGTGAGTGCCAAATGCTTTGCCAAAGGTTTTCAGATGATCTGGCTGGAGAGCAAGAAGCGTCAGACATCTCATTGCAAACTGGGTTCCCAGCCCAGTTTTGTCCTCAGAAGTGATTCAAAGGACTTTGAGAGGAGCCCAACTGTGCAGTGATCTTCTCCTGCACTCCTGTTAGTCCTTACAAGAGGCCTGAAGTCTAAAATACCCTGAAATCAATCCTACTTGGCTTTATACCTGTCTGGTCTGTCTGACATCCCTCACTTGAATATTATTCATATTCTATGCAACATATTGTTCCCTTTTCCTTCTGTGCTTGCAGAAGAGAAATACAGATATAAAGAAAAACAATTATTTTGCAAGTAAAACTAGAACCATCCAGGCTAAATCAGGCAGTTTTCTGATCTTAAAACTTCTCTTAAAAGAAGAGAATCATCTTAAAAAAGGAGGGCTCGAAGTACAACAGAGGAAAACGATGTGAGTGATGTGAGTGATCCTCTGCTCCTCTCGCAGTTCTTTCATTTCTCATCCAGCTGATTTGGAAACCTGGGGGGCAAATCTTTCCCTCCAGCCTCCCTTCAAGACCTGCAGACAAAATGGGCCAGAAGTCTTGTTTTTAAATATTAATTGTCACAAAGGCAGCACAGCCAGGCGCTGTTCCCCTCTGGGAGGGGCGAGGGCAGGTGTCTGGTCCCTGCCTGCCCTCAGCAAGTGATTCCCAGATGGAATAGCCAAGCCAGCCTCTTGCAGAGCTGATGGAAGGATTTGTCTCACTGGGATACAGGAAATAAACCTGCCTGGTCAGGCTGCTGTGACCCTCAGCACCAAGGAGGAGGATCCAGGATTTGTTCCAGACATTTGTCTGAGATTCACTGATTCCCCTCTTCTTCGTTCCCCTCAATTTCATCCTTCCAACCTTTGAAAAGTGTAGGGCGAGGTGGGGAATTCAGCCAAGACAAGTGACCCTAAAGCCACTGGTTCATTTGGTTTTTGGGTGTGTTTTTAAAAGACAGGACAGTGCTTTCCAGACTGCTCTTAAACCTCCCATGGACAGATTGTTTATGACACCACACTGAAGGGCTGTTAAAAATCTTTTCCCCAGAACCACAAAGAAATCAGCAGCAGTCAGTGCACTGAGGGGTTAAACTGGCCCAGGATATTTCAGAGTTTAAATTAAGCAAACAAAATGAGAATTGTTCTCGTTCAGCCTTCCCTGCTGCAGCACAGAGACGTGTCAGTGACACAGGTGAGAGTGTTTCTGCAGGAAGGTTTTCACCTCAATCACACCTGACACAAATCCATTTTCCAGACTTGTTGCCACCACCGACTGCAGGGTCAGACTCAAAATACCAAACACAATTTGTAATCCCAGGCCAGAGTAACAGAATTAGCTTTTTTGGGCAGCCCAGCTCCAGTTCCAGTCATGGATCTCTCACTCTTGGCACTGGCCAGACCTGGGGGAGACACAGGAGCTGCACCAGAGGGGAAAAAGTTATGTTCTGGGGAGGCAGCAGCAAGCAGAAACCTTCTTTGCTCCTCATTTTTGGACAGAAAACAGGCGGTGAAGTGGGAATCAGCATCAGGGAGAACAAACACATTAAAAACTGAGGAAGAGCTCAGTTCTTGATGTCCTGAGCAGTAAAAAACAGAAGAGCACTCACCCTCACGAAGCTGGCGGGAAACCATCCTTCCTCATCATCGATCTGACCCCACCACCAGTCCTTGTTGGAAGCATCCAGGACCTTGATGACGTCTCCTGCTTTAAACGCCAACTCCCGGTTGGCCATGGTGACGTGATCCCATACTGCCTCAGCACTGACAATGGAACCACCACTGATCAGCTTGGGGAGAGAAAAGCAGAGTCAGGGAGTGTCTGCAGCCCCAGCCCCACACATGCACAGCAGCACACGCAGCCAAGCTCGCAGCCAAACATCGGCTCCGTGGCGATTCTGCCCTCACGTTTTTCCATTCTCACCGCCCTCATCCCGCTCCCAACCCTGCCAGGGAAGCTCTGGGTGTCCCCCAGGGCCTGGCACCTCCCTTCCCACCCCCACATGTGCACATCTGTCAGGGACAATTCCGCTGCACAGATCCCAAAACCAGCCAGAACAAGCGGTGGAGGCCTGCAAAGGAATTTTCACTTCAGTGGAAATGTCAGAGGCTCGGGGAAGCTTTCCATGCAGATCCAAGCAAAGTTAGTGCACGTGTTTAGAAGGGTTTTTTTGAAACTGGAGGCTGCCTGGTTCAGTGCTGGTGATGTACTGACACCCCTCACTCCTGGCATGCTGCTGACCCACCCCAGCCTGGCCCAGCCCGAGCTCTGCCCCATCCTGCTGCTCCTGCCCGTGGGGACAGCACAGGGAGCAGATCCTGGACCCTGGACACTGGACTGAGGCCAGCCTGGCATCTGACAGGAGCTTGGGAACATCTCTGCCTGTGGAGCTCAGGGAGCCTCAGAACCCACAGCCCAGGACAGGAAACTCCTGCTCCTCCTGGCAGAAGGGATCATCCCATCACTGGTGGCTTCCACACCACCATCCACCCATCCATCCACAGCCAGGACACCCCCTGCTCCTCTGACTGACAGCTGTGTGGTTTTTAACATGCAGGAGCTGTGCTGAGCGCTGAGGCTGCCCCAGCAAATACAGATTTTCCCCATGTGCTGATCAGCCTGTCAGAGCCATCCTGGGCCTCGTTCATTAGTTCTGCCACTGAGACACCCTGACCATGGACTTGGGCTCCCTCCAAGGCCCAGTTTGAGCTCACAGGGACAGAGCTCAACCCTGTGACCACTCCAGCCCTTTTTGTGGTGAGGCTCTGTGAGCCACAGCATCCCCTCAACTGGGGCAGAACACCAAGCACACAGATAAAAACCCCTCGCTGTGGGTGTGCAAGTGTAGAAGCTCCTCATGACAGCTGCTCCCCCAAAGCCCTGTTAATCACTGCCTGCACAGTGAGAACTCGAAGGAGACCTTCTAGCACAGCCTCAGAGAACACTCAAGTCCTGCAGACAATCCAGCCAACACATTAAAGGGCCTGATTTACCATTTGCCTTGGACTGGCTTTCCTTTAAAAATCTGAACTCCTTGGGTTTGGGACAGTGGGAGCTGCAGTTCCAGCCCTTCAGTTGTAGGCAGCCACACAAAGCAGCAAGACCTGCGAGGCTTAACCTGGCAGTGCCTTTCATCCTCAAACCCAGATGGATCCAGTCAGTGGGAAAAAAGTGGAAGTAAAGCTGTGTTCCTCCCACTTTCACTCTGACAAATTGGCCCTTCTAAGTCAAACTCAGCTGCAGAAGAAACCTGTCCCCTTTGTGTGTCACCCAGGGGACTTTTCCACACGAGCCTCACAAGGGACACCAGGCAGGAAACCAAGGCATGGATCAGGGCCTCAGGTGGTGGCAGAGGGCAACTCCTGCTTCAGGGAGGGGTTATGCCACATCTGGGCTTTTGAGACACAGCTGGGCACCGGAGAGTCCCACCCAAACCAGCAGCAGCTGCAGTCAGAGGGTGATGGACCCCCAGCTCACCCCAGAGCTGGGCTCAGCAAAGCAGGGGAGCCACATCTGGAGAAGTAACAGGTACAGAGTCCTGATCCCAGTGCAACAGCTGGATGCTCAGAGGTGTTCCAGTGCCTCCTCACAGCCCCTTCTCTGCTCCCAGTCAAGGTTCCTGGATGCTCCCATAAACAGGGATCAGTTTAAAGCACAGAGAACCCCAGGACAGATCTGGCAGGGACGAGACTTCAGACCCCACGATACATTTAAGAGCAGGAACCATTTCTCTCTTCTTCTGCCAGCACTGAGCTCTCACTCTTCACCAGTGCCCCTCTGCCATATTTCTGGATGCTGTCCAGGTGTGCTTTCCCAGGTAAGGAAGTTCTGCCCTTCCAGCCCCCAGCTTTTCCTTCCCCCAGGCATTTCACCAACCCTTCCAGGCTTCCACGTACCCTGCCTGCATTTTTCTGGAACACAGATGACCAGAATTGCAAATACTATTCCCAAAGGGACCTTACCAGAGATTTGTGGAACAGCATGAAATATTTATTCCAGTGTCACAGAGATCTCCCAGTAATACCTCACATGTCCTCCTTTCCCCATGGCCACCTCCCACCCATGGCTCACAGTGATCCTGCATTCAGCCCCTCTCAGTAAACGCAGTAGAGTACGTTCTCTTTGGCTCAAAAATCAGTTTTCTTGTCAAAAAATGAATTGGGTTGGCCTGACACTTGTTCTTTTTGTTAATGCCATTGGGTATTTTAGTCCCTTTTGCAGTGCTGAGGAACCAGGAACAGAGCTATTACGCAGGAGCCGTGTCCCTGCTGCTTCTGCTTCAGCTGACAGAGACTCTGCTGTCACTTCACACACAGCCAGTTCTGGGCACAACCTGCCACAGAAACGTCACTGAGCCCCAACTTCAGAGGGACTGAACTTCAAACCCTCCCAGCTTACTTTGCAAAAATCCCTTCCCAAGCCCGAGGCACAAATGCCAGCTCTGAGGAGCAGGGCCTGGCCGGGGAGGGCTGGAGGGAGGACACAGAGGGACACAGAGAGACACAAAGGGACACAGAGGGACACAAAGGGACAGGGCTCACACCTCAGCCTGTTTCTGCTGTTAACACACAGGTCTGCAAGGGTGCTTTCAGGGGATGTCAGGAGTTGGGGTGGCTTTGCAAGGTGCTTCTTGACCTCAAGGAGAAAGGCTCCAAGTGCTTGGTTCTCACTGAGCAGAGCCAGCAGGGGCTGGTCCCACCCAGCCCCTGGTCCTTGCTCTCAGCCCAAAGAAGGGCTCCACATCCCAGGAATCCTCCAAGCAAGCCTTGGCCTTTTGGAACACAAACCCAGCTCAGCCTGCACCAAAAGGATGGCGAGAACTGCAGTTCCAGCCACCACACGTGCTGAGTCCATTGAGAGAATGTCAGGGCCTAAAATGAAAAGATCCACTTTAATTTATCTTGCAAGACATCTTGCTGCATCCGTGGAGCCGTCCAGCTCTCTCAGGGCAGGGTTATGGAGACAGAACCTGACATCTACAGCAGCAGGAGATGACAAACTGGAGAAAGGTCAGCATGAAATATTATCTTCTCAGAGAATTCAGCACAGGAGCTCTTTGCTGCACGAAGTTCACTTCTCTCAGCTTCAAAGCTGGGCTTAGAGCTGTGGTCAGAGATATTCAGCCAGAGACCTGGGAAGGAACTTGTCTGTCATGAAGTCAGATTCTCCCACACTGCAGCTGAGGGAGTCATCTGGACTCCCTGATAGCCAGTGAAGAGAAAGAGACACATCTGGAGCGTGATTCATCCCAGCTATTTCAGCAATCTACCTTCCAGCCAGGTGAATCATGCCCTAGAAATCACCCTGTGCTTAACTGGCTGAGGCAGAAGTTTACATTTCCCACATCTTAATGTTCATCCCATCTACGATTTGGCCGCTGCCAAAACCAAAGAATGGAATTTGAGAATAATAATCACTACAGGAATAGTCAAATATTAAAGCACGTTCTCCCAGACACAGAAGTTTTCTGTAGGGTAAAGGTTGATGGAAATAAAGTTACGTTCTCTGTGCCCACCAGAAGAATTCACAAAATCTTAGCCTTGTAAATTGACAAAAATTAGAACTTGGATATTTGGAAAAGTGTCCTACCCATAGGAAAAGAGAAGTAGCGAGAAGAAATGCAGCTGTGACAAGGACATTGAGTCTGATACCCCTGAGCACTGCCTGTCTGCCAGGTGGAAGCCCTACTTCCCATTAAAATCAATTATTCCTGTCAGTTGCTTGTTCAAAGTAAAGAGAAAATTCCTCAATGCTTTCACCTCGTAACATCAATGCAGAAATGCCCAGGAGCCTTTGGGAACTACAGACCTGAGAATAATGTTTCCTGCTTAACAGGAGCCTGCAGAGCACTTTCTGGGGGTTGGAGGAAAAGCTTTCTCAGTGGGCAGAAGAGCAGATGAGCTCTTGGGATGTTGTGGGCTGGGCCCCAGGCACTGGCCCAACCAACACCTGGCCATGGGCAAAGGGAAATCCCAGGGCACAGACAGGAGAAGCCACTTCCACATCCCTGCACCACAAACAAATGGATTTCATGAGGAAAATAAGAAGGGCAGAAAGACAAGGCTCTCCCTAATTCCGTGCACAGCTGCAAGCACACTAAGAATGGGGTGTATTATCCCTGAAGCACCAGGACCACAGCCTCAGCCTTCCCAGGGAATTTCCCCACAGGTTTCCACAGGAAACCTCCAACAACTCAGTCACAAACCCTCCCTCTACAGATTCTCCTTCAAGACACTCCCAGCACAACAGGTGAGTGCTTTAAAACAGCGAGCAAAGCAGGAGGAAAGGAATGAAACCATTCCTGCTGAAAGGAATGAAACCATTCCTTGCTTTGTCTTCCCATCTGGTGTCATTTCCAGGATGGAACATGGCCACTGGAAAGACAGAATTACACTGGAGGTGCTGCCAAAATAAAACAATGACAACAACAAACAGTAAAAAAAGGTTCCAGGGGACTCTGCAAGGCCCCACCTCTGACAGTGCGTGCCAGGGATGCTGAACTCTGTCCTCACCTGTGTTGGCAAAGCTCAGAAAGGTCCATCTGGCCCAAGATCCCCACTGTCTCCCTCTCCCCTCACACCTTCCAAAGCCAAAGGGCTTTAATGTGTCATTAATGCCACAGGGGAGCTCCCAAGGAATACAAAGGAGCTGCTCAAAAGTGGGAGTTTGACTCCAGATTTTACAGCTTTCTTCTCCAGCCATGCCTTTGTGGCACCTTTATCAAGATCAAGGAACTGTTCCCATCAAAGTAAGCAGGAAAACAAAGACCAAAAGGAATAACAGGAACAG